GCGAGGATGGCAGCAAAAGCACCACCCGTGGCTTGGATCTGCTGCACATTCAGCTGGCGAACAGCATTGCTATAAGCGCCAGCACCGGCATCTTGGAAGCGAGCAATGGGATCGCCTCAGCTGGTCCTGAACGGCATTGCTATGGCTATTACCACCACGAAGATTGGGACTGCTCCACGTGATGACCGAGCCATCGGCCCGGATGGCAGCGAAAGCACGACGCGTGGCTTGGATCTGCTGCACATTCTTCAGCTGGTCCTGAACGGCACTGCTATCACCACCAAGATTGGCATTGCCCCATGTCAGAACGGATCCGTCCCCCAGAATAGAGGTGAATGCGCCAGAGCCAGATGCTATTTGTACCGTGCCAATGTGCAAGGTCAACACATCGCCATGTTGCAGCCGGGTTTTCTTAATGCTTGCTGCATCATCCAGAACACGTCCAGATGGCTCTAACAGCTGGCCGCTTCCAACATTGCGAGCGGCCTGTGCACTTCTTTTGAAGCTCTTCACAGAGGTACCTGGCTCTGCTTGCAAAGTGACGGTCCTACCGCATAGCAGGCTCACCGAGATAGCCAAGGACATGGCTCGTGCAAGAAGCAGATACGTTTTGTAGGCAATGAAGCGCTCACACACTGAAAAGGAAATCACAAGTCTGGTGCACAGCCCGAAAATTCTAAAAGACCTTATCCTTTTGGCTGTACAATCACCGCACATGTCTTTGTTGATCTTCGCATCAGCAGCGTCAGCTGCCTTCCTCATGCAGAGAGTCACCCTGCCAAAAATGCAATCTACCTGGATCCTGGATGTCCTACCTTCTTGGGGTATACCTAGAAAAAGATAGGTATAGTGTTTAGGGAAGGACATCTAGGGCTGGCAAAACAATTCGCACCAGAAGCTCGAGCAGAGGCTGAAAGGGCAACCCTGAACCTCGGCCACCCAAGGACCTGTTTTAGACCCCAAATTCTGGGGTACAGGACTGTCATGGGGATATAGGACCCAACATCAAACGAACAAGAATAATGGGAAAATGAAGTCGGAACGTGGATTTTATGGGACTTGCCTCAAACCACTGCGCAAATCTTATAGGGACCCGTATCATACTAAGAAACACAACATATGAACCCGTGATTTATGAGTTTAAGTACATTCCCATCTAGAATCCACATACCTGCAAGTAGTATCTTCACAGACTGTGTTCAAGGGTAGTGTGAGCCTACATAATTACCAGTATCCAATTTAGGTGTATTTGAAATACCCTATACCATGCTTACACAAGCAGCCTGGGACCAGAATAGTGGTAGCTTTTTTTTCAATCTACATTACATACGCATACTCCCCCTGAACCCTTTATATAAAGCCAGCTTCCATGTTTTCTCTCCTTTTTCTTTTTCATTTGATTGAAATCTTTGTTGTTACCCTAAGCTTAATAGCCTAAACACTTCAAACCTTTAAACCCTGATTCCTGAAAAGCTAAACCCTAAATCCTGTTAGGGCCCGGACTCATTGCTTTTTTCAGGTCCAGCGAAGTCCCCTCTTTGAAGTAGACACGACCTGCCTGGCAGGGGAGTGCTTGCTGCCATGAATGCAAGGGTCGAAGGCATGAAGGATTTTAGAGTTTAGGATGAAAACGTCTGGGGCTTTAGGGGTTGAGGTTAATGGCTTAAGGTCTAGGGTCTTAGGGTTTAGGGGCTTTTAGTAGTAGAAGACGAGAGAATCACCTTGCGGGGTGTGCTTGGTGCCCGCAGTGTACGAGTGCAACTGATTACAGTAACACACTGTGTTGGGTTCTTTCATGGATGATGGGTTACAGATTGAGGGTTAAGGCCTCAATCATGGAGAATCAAACGGGAAAGCTAGAAAATTCAATAGAAAGTGGATATAGGGATTTATAGGACGTAGGGGTCTAATTCATTGAAATAGACAGGGTGTGGGGGCATATTTGTTCTACCGCGCTCATACAAAATTTAAGCGGCAATCATATTGTTAACCATTCATCTTCTACATTACAAACTTGCCCAGTGCCTTTCCAAGGCTCCTGATGTCAGGACAGTGCTTATTATGAGGCCTGATAAGCCCTATACCTCCAGATAGTCTCTAAATCCGAAACCCTAGACCCTAGGTATCCAAATCCTAAACAACAGGGTAGGCTCTTGCTATCTGGAAGTGCAGGCCGTTTAGCTGTCAGGATGTCGGCCGTTGGGGTTTGTGATGTGATGCCGTTCCCTGCTTTTTACGGATGACTCATTCAGACCAATTCGGTTGTTGTGGAGATTAGATTGGCTAAGAGAACGGCCCAGTGAAACTTGGTACCCTTGCAAGGCTGCATTTGCTAAAGCGCACCAGCAGACACCTGGACACTTGAAAGTCGTGAAGCCCACGGAGCTCTGCAAACATGGTAAAACATAGTACGTTGGCCGACGCGTACAGCAGTCACAACGTTATGTCTAACAACTTTGGCTTCTCAATCTGGTAGGAGCGCAATGACGCGACATGCCAAACCACAAAACATACCGTGCTTGCTGAATGAACCAAATCCAGAACCACGCTGCAACATGAGCGTTACGAAGCATTACTTTTGGGTATCACTCGGCCATACGGCTATAACAAGGATTGTTTCCTAGCCTGGCTAAAGCCTGAACCCTTTTTCCGTGTAGATGCATTTATGGCCCTATGTACCCCTATATAGTACCTTTCGCAGGACACAGATATTTGTACCTACCCAGAATCCTTAATCTGGGGCCATCCATACCCTTTATACCCCCATATGTCCCAGTGTATCTGTATGCATCCCTATATCCCCGTTAAGGGCTTTGGGTATCTGTATGAGCCATAGTCTAAGCTGCTAGTAGTCCCCTATACTTTCCCTTTTCTAAGCCCCTTCTACGCAGTTTAGAATATGGTTTAGAATATGGCCCATATAACTGAGCAGCTTACATCCATCATCTGCTGCCCCTTGTGGCCAGCCGGACTGACCTTCGAGGGCAGATCATTTTTTTGAGCCATGGGGCGCTAGTGTGGGCCCTTAATACTGGGATCCGTATATGCCTACTATATACCCTATGCGTACCCTTAAGGGTGCCTAGAATCCCCCTCAAAGGCATAAGAGACCATGTTAGGGGCCCATACTTCTAACCTTAGATTCAGGCTTAGGGTTTAGGGTTCAGCGCGGCTTGTCTCTTCAGGATCTGCTTCAGTGGGCGGGGGGAGGGGCGGCAAGGAGGGGGTTTAGGGTTCGTATATCTTCCGCATTTGGAAATCTTCTGGTTTGTGTGAGGCTCTCCTCTGTAGATAGGGAATACATCTTGGGCACAACAGTCACACATGTACCATTTGTGTTTAGTGTTCGTGGTAACGAGGAACATCACTGAAACCTTGAAGAATCGCGGTAATTGTTCGGGCCGTCGTCACCTCAAGAATCCTCATGCCCCGTGTGGTGTTTTGGTAGGAGTTCTAAGGACGTAACACTAAGCTTATAAGCCCTAAATCCCTTTTGTGCTTCAAAGAGAAACAACGGGCATCCAAGAGTCCCCGGACACCTTAGGCGCACACTCTTCAAGGCAAGCAATCTGGAAGCCCTTCGTGGGGATTAGGGTTTCAAGATAAGGTGTTGTGGCGCGGAACCAGGAATATCACTGCCAATAACGGAGAATCAAATTTGAGTTGCACACGGGGATTAAACAGTGTGTTCATAGGGTGTTGGATGTGGAAGCCCGGACTAATGGCCCACTTGATTCCCTTGTAATTCGTGCAAGTATATAGGATAATATCTACCCCACATGTCTCACGTTCGACGTAACAGACTCATGTCAGCTTTATACCCCGAGTGCCTATTCTGATTTTACGTCCGCTCTGGCAGCCCATTTGACCACTTGATCTATGCAGTCTACCCGAGCTTAGGTGGCGGCAGCTGGGTAGGCGTTCCTGGGCAACCACAGATTGCAGTTGGAATGGAGGTCTCAGGAAGCTGCGATGAGGTGTCTGCAGGTTTCGGTTTAGACCCTGAAAAATCTTCAGTGAGCTTTGCAACAACATGTGCTATGAGCCACTACGAGGTTGTCTTTTCGTGAAAATGACTTTGCCTGCGTGGTGACCTTTGAGTGAAAACGAGACTACAGTAAATCGCACGGCATGTTCCTTGGATACGCCCCACCTCATAACAGACATATACAGATCCTCATCATTGAGGGTACGACTTTCATATCACTACACCGACAAAGTCCGGAGACTGTGCCTAGATCGTCAAAATTGTAGTCCCCTTTCTGGATCCCTACCCTAGTATATCTCCAGGTTTTGCTAATATAGCGCTCTAGGTATCCAAATCCAAACGGACCCCATTCCTTGTATGGGAACCATTTGAAGGTAAAGTTTTCGTCTTCTCATCATTTCTTTGGGGGGGGGGCTTATGATTTTGGAAGGGGATTAGAATAAGCACGGGAACCTGAAATAAGGCCATTGTAAAGCAGTTTTCTACATGAACCATCATTGGATTGGGGCTGCTGCAGCTTGTGTAGTTTGAAGGTCTGAAAGGACGGGGCAGAAGAAATTTCAGACAAATGGCTTTTTGTTGAATGAAGGAAGAAGAATGGCAGATAACTGAGACTGACAAGCTTTCTGCACACCCTATCTAGAACCCAGCCCCTCATCCCCGTGTTAAGGCCTCAGTACCTACTATTAGGGGCCACATGTCCCCAACTAAGGGTATCAGGAGGAGGGGTCTTGCTACCTCAATCCCTAAATCCCTAGCCATTTCATTTTCCATTTTCTTTTCCATTTGATTCTCCAGGATGCCCATATACCCCTATATAACCCCAATGAAGGGTCCTAACAGGGGTCGTGGTAATGGCTGCAAGGGGTTGTCACAGCCCCAGAACCCGGGGAGGATCTGAAAATTAGCTTCCCTATATAGACCCATAATAACCCCTATGTAATCCTCATATACTTTTCCAGATGGCTCTAGGTGATCCAATTTTTAGATCCCTCTTGGGGGTTGGGGAGGTCCCTCGTAAGGCCAGGGCATGTTGTTGAGGTCGTAGACGGCCGAGTTGTAGGTCCTGGATTCTGAGAAGGACCACTGTAGAGGGCTCAGGAAATCCCAAGTCATGTTTTGATGGTATATCAGAGTATAGTATGGTAGATTGTAGTATAGTATGGTATATCATAATATATTTGACTATATTTCGATGTTTTCAGATTTTTTTGAGGTGCCCTATACCGCAGCTGCGCAAGGAATCGAGCACCACATTACCGTCCCTCAAACGCAACATGGAACCCCAATGTAGGGAGGACAGGTAGCCTGTATAGACACATCTTCAGGTTTCATGTAAATGGCGGCGTGCGAAACAAAAAGAATACATGGCTTCAGAAGGAAAAGATTCCGCTCTTGCCAGGGAGATCATGTGGGTCCTACTATATACCTTCCAAACAACGGAAGCATATCAATAAGCCCGGCTCAGGGTTTAGCAGTTTAGGGCTTAGGGGTGCAGGGGTTTAGGGTGTAATAATATATTTAAAAGTAGTAGTGAGAATGAGACTGATAGCAACAAAATGACAATTTCTATCACCTTTGTCATGCACCATGTAAGGTACCACAAGCTTTGAAACCTCCCAAAGTATCAAAAAAATGGCAGCGCTTTGCTACGCCTTCCTAGGGCTGCTATCAATAGCGGGTAGGGTGTAGGGTTTCTTATGTATTTGTTCTTCTTGCGGTTTTCCATGGCTAGCCACCCAAAGGCTCGGAAGTAGCTTTATTCGAATATTGGGGAATCAAATGGACAAGACCCAGGAACCTGACATGGAAACTGGGTTCATGTTGGGGCTTCGTAGGACTATAAACAATTTGGTTTCACCAAGGGACCCCTGCATAGTTCCTTTTCCGGTTGGTTATACATTGGTAGTGAATGCTAATAACACCACCCCCCGAGGAACTACATATGAGCTCTTCTAGGGTACACCCAGCTCGACAGCAAGGGGACAACCGTATTCTTACCTAAAATTCCTAAAATCCTAAATCCTTAACCCTAATCTCTAAACCCGAACCCTTACAACCCTAAACCCTGAACCCTAATGGCTAAACCAAAAACCGTGATCCCTACACCCCAAAACCCCAATCAATATTTGGCCTTCTACATTACCTCAACCCCCAATTATTCAGGCTTCTACATTACCTTCTCAAATTCTTGCAGACCCCGGGACTAAAAGCAGATCTGCTCCTCACATCTGTCATGCATTTACAGCGTGAGAGCTGCCCAGTCGAGGGATTAGGGGTCAGGGTCTAGAGTTTAGGTGGTCCCGGTCCTGTAGTTCCACTCACCGCAGGCAGTTGCCATCAGGACCTGACACACATCTGAGCTGCCCATGATGTAAATCCTAAACCCCTTAAACCTAAACTCTAAAGCCCTAAACCACAGACCCTAAGCCCTCAAGCCTAAACCCTAGGGTTTAGGCTTGAGGGCCTTAACAGCTCAGGTAGGCGTGCAGACCCCTTGCTTCTTCAGAATTACTAGGGCTCACTGTGTAAACGATTTGCCTCGCATCCTGCAAAGGCGAGCTGATTATTGCTGCAAGAAGCCGAGCGAGGAGGGAGAGACAGAGAGAGATTCACAGTTCGGCTTCCACGAAAAACCTGCATGACCTTCCTTCACTGAGGTTAGATAACTCTTAAGGAAACAGGTGCTAGGGAGATTTTTTAATATCAACCTCATAAACACGATATAACCCGAGTTTCTATTTTAGTTTCAATTTTCTTTTCCATTTGATTCTCCATCATTGGGCCCACATCCCAAAACCCTATACCCCCTAAACCTTAGACACTAGTTTCCATTTTCTTTCCCATCGACTTTCTAAAGCCCAACCTCCCTAAAGCCTAAACCCCAAACCCTATTCGGCTTTATCCCTCAACCCTCTATGGCCTATATGAGCCCTGGACTAAATTTGTATCCGTGAGGTCCCGCCAAAACCCTATATAGTTCCCTATAGGTCCCCCCCAACTCAAATTTTGTCTGTAGCTCATAAAATCTTGTAATTACCTGACACAGGATGTTTGCCCATGTCCCTCTGCTTCTGGCTCTGCTTGTCCGGGTGCCCGCGCTGCTACCAATGTGGCCACGGTGAAGAAGGAGTGCCTCAGCCATCAAGTTTAGGGCTCGGGGTTTGGAGTTTAGGATTACGCAAGCTTCAGGGGTTTTAGTCGATGACTATCGCCGATGTAACAAGCCTCTTTGGGACCCTCCTGTGGCTAATGTAATTAGAGGAGGGTTTGGGGGCATAGCAGACCACTATAGCTACTCTAGGGTTACAAGGGAGTAACGTTGGTAAGTGTTCGGCTACAATACACTTTCTGCCTTCTAATCCCAGTTTCCATTTCATTTTCCATGCCCTTTCACATTTCATTCTCCATTGGCAAGTATTCATGCTGCTACATTGCGCACCCTTTCAGAGCAAGAACTCACGAGGCACTGTGATCTCTTCGACAAAAAGCTGTCAACACATTGAGGAACTGCTGTGTGGTTGTGGCAGTTTTCGTAAACAGGCGGAGTCTGAAACCAACAAACCCTAAAAGACTGGAACCCTCTATGGAGGACGCTGCAAAGGAAGCCCTAACCCGAATATAACCCCTTTCAAGCAACCCTAATTGTTGGAAACCCCAACTTTGCAGCACATGCCGACGAAGAACACATCAGTCAGAGGCCTTTAATCCCCAAGCTAGTGAACTCAAATGAGCTGCAGTCAGTATTTCCCAGATAATTAATGGACGTGGGTCTGTTATTAGAGATTATGTTAGGGCATATACGAAACTGCAAGGAGGACCCCTATGTCCCCTGCTAGGGGTCCCGTAATAAACCTGACATTGATAGTAGCTCAAATCAACAACATCCGCCTGGCGTCTGCTGGCGGTTTGGGCTAAGGGACTTGCTAAAACGGCTGAAAACCCCCAAAATCCTACCCCTACATAATTGTTAGCAGGGACCGCGGATTCCTCTTAGAATCCCCATATTCTCCTGGGCTCCCCCAAGCCCCGATCCTAATCCCGAAAACTGTACACCCCGAATCTGTACATGCAAAAAAGACTTAAGGGCCCCCTGATACCAAACATCCTGCATGACACTACGCACCATCTACTTATGGCGCTGTAGTAGACTAAGGTCACGCAATGTTTTATTTCACAACAATATCCTCAGAGACCTCTAGACCCCACCCTAGGCCCTAAATCGCAGCCCCTAAGCCCCAATTTGCAAATCCTATACATCTCCACAAACCATCAAAGAAACTTAAGGCCCCCTATCTTCTGAAACTGCCATAACTTACGCCGAAGTTGCCACTTCTCTGACCTGGTAAAAGCAAGGGGAGGAACGAAGACGTCAATGAGTATCAGAGGGTTGAAGGTTCTGGGGCTAAGTACTTAGAACGATGAACTAAATAGAACAAACATGGAACATTAAATGGAAACTGAATTCGCAGAGCCGTTTATAGAGATTGTAATGTAGGGGCCGAGATAAATAGAATAGGGTTCTACAGCTACCTGAAGATTTTTGGTGAGGAGTTGTGGGTCCTTCTGTACGGTCGCCTTCTTCGTTGGGCGTCAGGAATAAGAACAACGTAAATCACATCTGCAACAGGGTCCGGCCTCAAGCGTTTTTGATACACGAGCTCAGGTTTTCTGACATCAGGCATAGAACAGTAACACGACAAGTGGCCACCTAGGTTTAGGGATTAAGGTTTCAAGTGGGCTGGGCATCAGCTAAATGGTTAATATTTCCGACTATAAACCATGATATCTCCTTATAACTCCTTACAACGAGATTCACTCACCACATCGCCAACGAAATCATATTGGAATTATTCAGGCTTCTACCCATTCCATACAGCTCACTTTAACAAAGTAGTGGCTGAGTGCTAAGGGATGAGCCTGCAACGGATTAGGTCAGTAGGTTGGGGCGTTTGCAGTCTAGGGTTCCGGGTTTAGGATTCTGGGATTCAGGGGTTTAGGGTTTAGGGATCAGGGCTGCAAATGGGCCGTGAAAAATGCAGGTGTGAGTCGCGGCTCAGCATGCTTCAGCCTCATGACACACTTTGAAGCATGCTGAGCCCAAACCCTAAACCTGAATGGACATGTCCGCAGCTTTGAGCAGTTGGCATCGACAATAGCAAAGCATAGCCACCCACAGCCTAAGATTGGATAAGTGGTAACCATGCCAAGCCAACTGGGGAATACACAGTACGAATGCACACTCCACGGGACCAGGTACCAAAACATTTCATGTGCCAGAAAGCACACTCATTACGCTAAAGTTATGTGAAGGGATCGTATCGGCATACAGTCAACCTTCCCTACATTGCGCTCCCTATACACCCCTATATCGTCGCCACCTCCACCCCAAACCCGGAGCAATGAGACCCCGACGCGTCTGCTCGCATGGCCTCAGTTCTGGGGGTTGTAATTCCCTACTGCGGAAATCTAGACCCCAATGAGTTTAGGATTTTGGGCTTCCTGCTGCGGTGCAAGATTTCGCCCTTCCACCGTCGGGATCGGAACAGCGCTAGCGGGTACAATTAAAGACCCTAGGGCCCAATGTAGGTACCGTTTCCCATCCTGAAGGCCCAAATCAAGATAAGTAGCATTTTGTATCTCAACTGCGGTTCAACTTTACAGGACATGGGGTGGGGGGATGGATCAGAGAAGATCGGATTGGTATAGGTTGCTGGAATTGGTAAGGACACGCCAGTTTTAGGTAGAATTGTACCCTGGTTTAGGGCTTGGCGGTTACGGTCTCGAGTTGCAATCAGCACTTGAGATAATGACGAGGATGGTTCGGGTCCCATCCATTATAGCTCCTAGTTCTGACTACCCAAGATCCTCCACCGCACTTGCGCTCCAAGGGCCTCAGCTATTAGGGTTTAGAGCGCGGCAAATGATCAGTAGCACAGCCCGCCGAAAGTTTGTCCTACGCAGACCTCAAACAGGACCCTCCTTCTACCCACGCGGTTTAGGGTTTTAGGGCCTTGGTACGCGCTATTAAAAGGGGCCATATATCCCAATTATAGGGGCAGGTCTCGGAAACTTCAGAGTAGATCCGTAGATTAGCCGAAAAGCTCCTCGCTGCAGTAGTCTCATTGGGTCTTTACCAAGGCACACAAGATGCAGCCACTTTGCTTGGAGGTGCCATATTTCTATCACAATTCTCGCAAGACGCCCATTTCCTTACATACATACCCCTACGGAACATCCCTCATCTCCCCTATGTGTCCTGACGTACCCTATGGAACCTTTGAAAAGCATTTAACCCTAACCCCAAATCCTAAGCCTTAAGCCCTATACCCCCCTTTTACATTCATTTTAATTACCTTATAATTATAGAGAACCCTAAACCCCAAACCCTAAACCTGAATCCTAAACCCCAAACCCGAAATCCCAGCAATCTACCTTAAATGAACCTTCAGGACCTTAGCTTAACAGCCTAGGCATCCGCGCCAGCCGCGCGCTCCAGGCCACGATTCCAATACCCAGAGCAACGCTACCCCAGGCCTGGACTTGCTGGTTACACGGTTAAAGGGTTAGGGTTTAGGGTTTTCGGGTTCAGGGCTTAGGGCTTGGATATCAGGGTTTAGGGCCTAGGGTGTATGTTTAGGGTTTATGGTTCTCTTAGGGAATGAATGGAAAAACAAAACGAAAATGACATGGATTGCAAGGATGTAAAGGGTTTAGGATCACCTCGCTGGTTGGTAGCGGGGAAGGAAGGAATGGAAACGAACGTAGAAGATACACTTTGCCGGTCTGGGTTTAGGATTTAAAGCTTGGGGCCTATGTGTGTTCGTGGTGAATGGAACAGCTGAATTCTTAAAGATCTTATCTGGCCCATTGCTTAGGGTGTGCCCAGTCGTAGAGCGACTACTCAAGGATCCTTTCTCGTCTTCCCCGCTGAAACCAAGAAGTTGAGCAAGCAAGCCCCCAGAGGCAGCTACGCAGTTCCTTTTGGGTTTGCTGCGGTTTGTTCTGGTAAGAGATAATGTTATCTCATCCAAAAGACAGGTACGAATGAGCCTTAGGGCATCTTTGACACAAGAGTGTGTTCTTCAAGGTACTTCATCTGCTGCGAGTTTCAGGATTGTGGACTAAGGTTTTCGAGGGTTTAGGGTTTAGGGCTTAGGGTAGTTGGGGTACTGAGGCTCTCTTGTGTTCATTGGAAACTTGCAAGCATGGCATGATGTACCCTCATGATTGCCAGCAGGTACGTTCAACTCAACAATCTCGAAGGTCTAACTGCCATGGAACATTCAGGCCAGTTAGTTTGTGCGCGCTTTGGCTGAGCTCAGCTCACTTGAATGGCCTTGAAACCAACAAGAGGCATTTGAATACCGCGGTTCGACAGACTTGTCTAACCTTAAACAAAGTATTGAAGCTAGGACTTGACTTGGACCCAGTGAAGTGAGTATCGTTTGCTGTTGCTAAGGATGAAATGCCTGCGCGGCAAGGAACGGGTAACCAACCTAGTCACGATTGCCCACATCCCGGAACTATTTGAAAAGTGGCAACATGTACAGCTGTGAGGGAGCAATGGCTATGCCTGGTTGACATAAAGCAACCTTCCGGGTCTGCCGGGTGGCCTGCAAGTAGATACATACCCTGTAGTGAAGTGCCAGATCACCTCTGCCCAGAACATCTAATCATGTATGAGCCCATTTGAGCCCAGATCGACTCCCATTTAGGTACTTGGACCTTACGGTAGACCCTGCACCCTGAACTTCATATTCTGCTATAGAATCCCCGTAAACCCTTCAGGCTTTCCTCCGCCAGACCCATAATGGTAAGGTAGAATCCTAAATGGTTACCAAGATCGGTCCCAAGATCATTAAAGGTCTGCTTGAGGTACCCACTATGAAAACTGCATGAGAAACCTTGTAGCACAGTAGTGGTGCTTATTGCCCAAAATACTTCCTAAATCCTAATCCCTATATATCTCCATATCACTCCTTTAAAGGGACCATAATACTGCCCTAAACTAGGCAAGTTCTTTAGACTTCTGCATCAAACGCAGCCCTTCTCCTGGGCTCCGGGCAGCCCAAGGCGCCTTCCAATCAGACAGAGCTGGACAAGACCGAATAGGTGCCCAACGCAGCGTCTGAGTAGATGCTAATGTAGACCCATGATTAATAAGCCCTTTCCTTTTAAAGGGCCTAAATATTAGGATCCCTATTATAATCCCTATTAAGGGGAAGGGTTTATTAATCAGGGGTGTGGGTTAGGATGACGTTATTTGATTCTTGTTAATGTTAACATCTCAACAATACCAACAGGTCACATTGACAATGATTGTTTTTGCTCCCTTTATGTCCATTTCTACGTGTGCGCTACTATTACGGTTCCGGTTGCTGCTCTTGCTGTAAAGTACTTAAAGTGCAATATTGGTTGCAGCTTGCATGACCTTGGAAGCTTTGCTTGAAGTCTTGCACGCCTCCCACACCCATGAAAACCCCTAAACCCTAAACCCACAAGCCTTCTCACGCAGGATTGTTCGCGAGAGGTTCTGCTGAATGAATTTCAAAGCATCCAGGCTAGCTGAACAACTCCGATCTGCTATAACCAGGAATAACACGTGGGCTATTCCTTGATATATTCTAATGCCACATATTAAGAGAAGGGGAGTTTTCAGTTTGGGGTTTAAGATACTACAAGCAACCCAAGGAATCCACAGACGGGGAAAGAGGCCTTCTGCAGATCCCCGTTTGAGATTCCCATGCGCCAAGAATCTCATGCCCCCCCAAACTCAGGTCTGGCCGGCGCTTGTCCATCAGGTAAATCCTAAAGCCTACACCTCCCACCCTCTTCATGGATTTTGGATCTTTGCCTGCCGTAAGGGCTTAGAGTGTAGGTTTTAAGGAATTGCGTTTTCCGGCTCGGTCTAGGGGTTGTAACAGGGGCTTAGGAATGTAAAGTTTAGGTGTTGGATTTAGGGTTTAGAGGTTGAGGAATTTCAAGTTTAGGGGTTTAGGATTTCGGGGTTTAGGCGATCCAGGGTTGTCGTTTCTCCTTCATTGGATCTTAGCCTTGCTTATTGCGGCCTTGTAGTGCAGCGAGAAGGACAAAGCCCAGCAGATGGCACTGAACACAGTCCAAGGCCTCCAGCGCCAACGTTTACAAGGTGTAGGGTTTAGGCTGGGTATTGTCCCCCACCCAGCAACACTCCGCATTGGGGCTAATATGTGGGCCATTTATAACTATAGAAAAACTGGATCTAACTTTAGTGGGCGGAAACAGTACCCAAGGTCCAGGGTTCGTTTGAGGCTTACATTGGGGTGTATGACTTTGCTGCTCCACATTCAGGCATTCTTGTAGCAAGGGGATGAGACTTCCGATTCCAAAGGCCACTCTTCCAGGACTGAACACCAGTAACACCATGTGACAATGCTAAACCCAAAACATGAAGTTACTCTAAACAGCAATTTCACAAGGCCTTTGTTGGCGTCGGGCTGGGGCTTTCGTTACTAGCGGCTCAACAAATTGGGGGCTAGAGCATTGGAAACATGATCCCTTGTGCACACCCTTTACCCTGCCAATAGTGACGGGCAACCTCTGAACAACACACATCCGAGGAGACACGATGGTCTGGTTGCTCTGTTCATATGCCGTATGTCAGACTTACGATTACCCCCCACAACATGTGCTGAGGCCAAGACAGGAGCATGTTCAAGATCACGGCCAAGGCGTTCAGGTTCAACCGCTTCCTTGGTATGTTTATGCGGCTCGTCAGCTTCCATCTAATTTCGTTTTCGGTTTTGTAATTGTGCTATCCTTTATGTGGCCCGGAGTCGCGAAGAGTGTATTCATACTGTTTTCTGCATGCTCTTCTTGTCACCTGAATATAATGTTACTTTCATGGTCAGCAGAATTACTTCGCAGGCGTCATGACATGTCATGACACATCCCAGAGTACATACGCATCAGATGTGAGGCACACTGCTTGCAAGGCGGAATATGGAAGCAGGTGGGGGATGACAAGAACAAATCTCTCGAGACACCCCGTCCCACCATGACGCATTCAAACGGGCGGACGCATCACGTGAGATTTATGTGAACCAGCTCAACACGACACAGGACACCCCCCAGCAACACAACTAGCTACAAAGTGAGCTGGTGAACACTCTGTCCATACGGTCCATACGTTGGATGAGGAAATCTTGCACCACTCAGGATTCCCCAAACAACGCTGCAATTCCTCGGTATAGGGTAGGCAAAGTGGTGCAAGATTTCCTCCATCTTCAATAGCCTCATCAAAAAATGTTGTATAAGTGCTTTTATGCAGGAGGATAAACCCTTACCTGGATCCCAGCTGGATATGGAATAATCAACTCTTTGAATGGGTTTTGGGCTGCCATTTTATTCACCTTAGGGGTCCAGGTAAACCCAATCAAAAAACCCTGCATCCTCAACCCCAACTAAAAGCTCTTCTCTCCGAGCTCCTCACTTCTGTGGCGCTCCGGCCAGTCCCAAGAATTCCTAGCAGGGAATGAAATAATGAACAAGGAATTGGAAACTACTATTTAGGGTATAGGGTTTAGGATAAAGGTTTGATCAGAGTTTGAAGGGTAGGGCGCTAGGGAATGGAAGAGACAATTCCTGGGCCTCTATGGGCTCTAGTGTGCCTAGATGGTACCTACTTTGGGCCCTGTAGGATCCTTCAGGTTCCCATATTCCTGACTTCCGCTGGATAGCAGTTTGTGGCTATGCCCGGGGTTCCGGGGAGAGCCATTTGCTGAACGCTGCTTTGAAATTTAATTGCTATTGGCATGCTGTAGCGTGTCAGCGTGTGTGTATGTGCAGGTGGAGCCACAACACACTCTCAGGAGATGAGGTTATTACACATTTTTTTGAGATGCCGCTTATTCCATTGAAATGGCCACCCACCATATGGGGCCTTCCAGACTTAGGGGGCGTTCTCGTATCTCCCCAAAACCTTTAATCCTTCGTTGAGTATGCCCGCAACAGGCCTAGTGTCTGTGCAGACCTCCAGTCCAAAGGAATGTCCAAGTATAGCAACCTTGACCAACATGCAAGGAGCAGCAGAATTTGCCCAGTAAATCCTAGTTCTTCAACCCTAAGCACTAGTTCCGCGGCTCGTCGCGGCAGGCCTGCCCCTTGCCCTCGTAGCCCGGGGCCTTGGCAACTGGAGCAATTGATATGGTTTACCTGCATGACCTTCATATACTGCTACCTGCAAGGTTTTTACTATCGACCGTCATACCTGGACAACCAGAGTATGTAGAAAAACGGCCGGTTGTGAGCAATTGTTTCTTCCCGAATGCGTAGCAGAAGGGTT